GTGCCATGTGGGGGGTCAGCCCCGGCTGGGGCTGCACCGCGTGAGGCAGGGTGAAGTCGGCAGGGAGCTGAGGCTGGGGACCCAGGTGGAAGTGCCTGCAGGAGGTAGCATGGGGATGCTGAGACCTTTGAAAAGGAGCACCTGGAAAAGAAAAGCATCTCTGTCGTGGGGGCCAGCAGTGGCTGCAGCACCCCAGCCCAGTGGTTGCACACCCAGGGCAAGAACTGAGCAAGCAGCTGTTTCCTGTCCTCTGCCTAAAGGGTTAAAAAAGAGAAGGTTGACATTGATTATGTGAAAAAAAAAAAAAACCAACACAACAACGTTGGTTTTGACTAATAGTTTTTCTCCTCCAGAAAACATTGGAGCCAAAACTTAGGTTTGGGTTCAAAGTGACTTTTTGGCTCCAAGTTGAAGTGTGTACTGACGAAAAATGCTTCAGCTTGTTTTGGGTTTGCCTGTCGTAAAGAGAAAAGCAACTCCAATTTTAGTAGGACATGTAATGGTAGTACAAAGGGTGATGATGGCTTTAAGCTAAAAGAGGGGAGATTCAGACTAGATATAAGGAAGGAATGTTTTATAATGAAGGTGGGGAGACCCTGGCCCAGGTTGCCCAGAGAGGAGGGAGATGCCCCATCCCTGGAAACATCCCAGCTCAGGTTGGACAGGGCTCAGAGCAATCTGATCCAGGTGCAGATGTCCCTGCTCACTGCAGGAGGTTGGACTGGGTGGCCTTGAAAGGTCCCTTCCCACCCAAACCATTCGATGGTTCTATGAAAAAGCCTCAACATTTTAGAAAAGGGGCAGGGGGGGATTAAAAATCTGTTTCCTAAAATATGTTTTCTTAGGTTATGAGCTCACCAAAGCTTTGAAATCTTGCTGACTTCCCGTGCAATTCAAGGAATTTCTTTGTCTGTTTAAAAATGCCTCTCTCACAAGCAAGGAAATAGTATCTGAGAAACTGTCTCTTGCTGCCTGCAGGACATAAATGAGACACCTTCCATATCTGAGACCTGGGACTGAGAGCCTGTGTCTTTGCTGAGACCCTCCAACCAGCCTGTTCCTGGTGAGCTGGAGGCAGGGAGGCTGCAGGAAACATGGACTGCAATGAGACCTGCCATGAAAATGATGGGAATGAGGAAGAAATGAGGTGTGAAAGATATCCTTAGTGGAGGCTTTTTGCAAAACAGCTGGCACTGGCTTGTGTCTCCCTCAAGATCCTTGCTTGGATGGACCCTTGGCCCAATCTGGCACGTTAATTCCCACCTTCCCAGAACATTTACAGGCATCACAGCAAAAATGTTGCCTCTTAAATTAGGGAGAGAGGTAGCTCAGAGGTGAAGGGTGAGATCTGAGTGAGCTATTAGAGATGCCTCTTTGCTGAGCTTCAGCCTCAGGGTAGGACACCTACTCTTTTACCCAGCCTTTTGAACACCTCATCTTCCTAAACCTTTTTTTTTTTTTTTTTTTTTTTTCTTAAATCCAGGAACAACAGCACCAAGAGACACTGATTGTCATCCCAAGATAAAGGCTGGACATGCCCACATGCCCACAAAGCCTTCTTCGCCCAGACCCCTTCTGCTTACATCTCCCTTCTGCCAGCAGACAGGGCCACTCCACAGCACCAGCTCAGGATGCATGTTCTGTCCATGTCTGTGTGGAACTGGGAGATGCAGAATGAAAGCCAGATGCCAGCAAGAGAAACAACAGGAGAGGACCTGACAGAAACTAATGGTTTGCAAAACTGTCCATAGGTAATTACACTCAGCATCTCTTAAACACAACCTAATCCTCCATAGCACCCTTCTGAGGGAGGAAGCAGGTAACAAATGCATGTGCCACCAGCAGCAGAGCTTCCTAAGGTGAAAATTCCTCATGCTGTCAGAAAACGGCACGATTTGGCTACCCTCTTAATTAAAAGCAGAGGAGGTGGGATCAGACTCACTGCTGCCCTACAATATCTATCTCATCTCTTGATGCCTGGTGCAACCTTAGCCAAGGATTTCCAAACTTTTGCTGTGTCTTGGGAGGCCTTAGTTTGGTTTGGCAAAACATTTACTGGACCTTTACTGCCAGAGACATGATGAACAACAGAGCACAGGGTGGGTAGATAATCTTTTTACTGCTTTTGACTTGAATTTTTCCTCTCACACCAAAACACTCCTTGTGAGGAACTTGGTCATGCACTTCCCTGCAGTCCAGAAAGTGCAAATCTGGGTATCTCTGTTATCTGAGCAGGCATGCAGAGATTGTGCAGAGCCAACATAGCATGAAAGAAAAAAGCCTAATCCATTTTGTTTTGGCGTAGAGGTTTGTTTTGTGCTGTAGTTTTTCATTCCCTACAACTAATCCATTTGCTGATAAGGAGTTCGACAGCAAAGCAAAGACTTTGGGGAATACTTCCGCAAAACTATCCTTATTAGCACTCATAAATCTTACAGCTGCCATAACTGACCCAGCTTGCAAAACAAAGAGCCAGCTCTTGCCAAGCGTGGTACTGGTGGACTCCAGAAAGCCCTGGCAAACAAGTAACTGTGCACAACAGAACATTTAATCCCTGAGTTATATATTTTCAAATTTATCCTCTTGTGTTCATTGGACCTGGCCACAAGGGGCCTTGGTGGAGAATGCTTTCCAAGTCCAAGGTAAACCCAGTGTCACCCTGCTGACACCAGCTGAGCAGCCTTTCTCCAGGTGGTCACCATGACCAACAACAGGATCTGGTTTGCAGGTACTCATCCCTTTTCACAGGAATGGAGAATCTCCTGTTAGTAGTTTTTATTAATGACTATTCTACTAGTACAACATCTTTCTCTTTCCTAAGCTGCACTCCTGTCCTAGATCATACTGAAGTTGAAACAGACTAGCATTGCCCTGTAATATGCTTCAAGAAAAGTTAATTCTAATCTTGGAGAAGAGGAGAGGTGCCTGAGGGCTGGAGGAAGGTCAGTGTCACTCCAGTCTTCAAAAAGGGCAAGAAAGAGGACCCAGGTAACTACAGACCAGTCCTGGAAAGGTGATGGAACAGCTTGTTCTAGTGCCATCTCAAAGAATGTTGAGGAAGAGGGTCATCAAGAGTAGTCAGCATGGAGTCACTGAGAGGAGTCATGCTTGACCAGCCTTCTACAGTGGCATAACTGGATGGATAGGTGAGGGCAGAGTGGTGGCTGTGGTCTACCTTGATATCAGCAAGGGTGTTTTTTTTATGGCCTACCCCAAAGGCACCTAGCAAGTCCCTCAGCTTTGGTGACATTTGCTGCAAACGCTTGTCATCTCCAGCTGAAGAGAGAGGGAAAACCCAGTGTCCTTGCTGCAGAGACAACTCAGTCCTCACCAGCCCCGAGAGGCTTTTGACCTGAAGCCAATCTGGAAGCACTTGTCCCCACATTCAGGAGGAGAGGGCCCACCCAGCTGTGTGAGGGTCATTGACATCCTCCCAGTGGCATGAATAACTTCAGCTGCTCATTTCTGGAGCCATGGAGGACTGATTTCTCTGGGCTTCCTGTCAGGCTGCCCACCAGCCAGAAAACCTTCTTTCCTTGCCCTGTTGCTTCTTCCTTTCATTTAAGTGCTGTTGCTGAGGCAGATGATGACAGCTCAGGGCAACCTCAGCTCAGCAGCTCCGAGATGAGCAATACATCACATCTGTGTCAGCAAAGCAGACAACTTGCTGCAGGTATGTGCAGCCTCCCATTAACTGGCCAGGGCCAGATGCCATTGAGATCAGAGACCTCTGTCTCAGTGCAAGCACCCGAGCAGAGCTATTTCTCAGCAGAGCAGGGAAATATTTCACCTCCATCTTTGTCTTTCTTCTCCCTCTCCATATTAGTTCCTCAAGCTCTTCTGTTGACCACACACATTTGCAAAGTCTTCTGTCTTTCTCAGTCTGCTCAGTCACTCAAAGCTCCCAGCTTGGACAACCCTTGTTGTCTTACACCCCCACTGGCCACAGCTAAGCCGCAAAAGCACTAATGGCTGAGCCTGGCTAATCCAGCTCTAAACAACGCCCCAAGCCTGACATATGGATGCAAAGGTGGAATCCAGTGGAGATGTGAAACAGGTTTTGGGCAAGCTTCCTGAAGAGTAGGAAAGAGGAGCTACATGGTTCTCTGAAGTCCCTGGGGCCAAGCCTGCCCCAAAGGAGAACGTGGCATAGTGTGATGGTGTAGAACAATGTGGTCACAGACACACCATCCACCTTGTTCATCTAATTGAGCATCAGCAACATCTTCCTTCCTCGTTTGATGCTCTGGTAGCCACTACATGCACTCCCCCTGGTCTTCTTCCATCACATCCCAAAGCCAAGGTCAGCACCAAGGGATGAGGGAATCACAACTCCACTAGCTCCTGCAGCTGAGCAGAGTAGCAGAGGCCCTGGCCAGCCTGACTCACCTCCACTAGGCCAATAGACACTGTGCCTTAATGCCAAGGACCCACCACAGAACTGGGTCTGCTGCATTCCCCACAGCTGCACAGCTCAACCATGGCCCCATCTCCCTGCCTGCACTGGCAAGATGTTCTTCAGCTAAAAAGCCCTCAGGGAAGAACAATTAGCAGCTATTCAAGAAGCACCCAAAGCACTTAGCTGGAAGAAAGCCTTACAGGCTGCAGCCTCAAACCAAGGAGGTATAAATTATTTTGTAGGAAAGCCAACAGATGATGCAGGCCTGTGGATGCAGAACCTGTTCAGCTGCTCTCCACCACATCTTCCACCTTTCATTCAATACCAGCTCCAAACGCAGCAGAAACCCGCAGGGAAACTCATCATGTCCTCTTGGACTCCACTTTCTCACCTCCACAGCTTTTTTTTTTTTCTTTTCTTTTCCCCTGCTGTTCTACAGTTATATTTATTTTTTCTATACCTTAGCTGAAGCAACCTGCATTTTTTTTCTTTCTTTTTTTTTTTTTTTTTTTTTTTCCCGTCAAAAGGAATGCTCCCATTTCTTTCGTGCCCCCAGGTGAACCCTGTAATTGACAAGTTCATCTATTTTTTTGCAGGCTGGTGTGTGACATTGAGTCACAGAAATGTATTAGTCTGGTATTGAGTATTGCTGTCACCAGGATCCTCCTCGAGCAGCAGTGTCAGGATTGTACTGTGCATGTGCACATGTGAATTTATGTACCCAGCCTGAATTTCACCCAGA